CTAATGAGTGATATCCGAAGGTATAGCTAATAGGTGTAAACTCAATATAGATTCCAAAACCGTGTAACTCCCAAAAGCTGTGCATAACAGATATATTTAAGTTAATGTTTAAATTGTTTTCTGATTTACAAGTAAAGTAAGGAATCGTCGCTGAAGATTCATTTCAACTGTTTATTCTCTGGAAAGTCAAAAAAATGTTGAAGGCTAAATAACAGGTTTTCTAAGCTTTTTCTCTATGATGCACTTTTCTTAAGTAACATTTCAGAGATCAGTAGATTTGAATGTCCTGACGCCCAAAGTCAGATTGAAAGTTTTGTTAAATGTGATTTTAGTAGCTTTTCACCGTCGATTGTAAGAGCCCTTTGAAGCAGAATCTGATCGGTTAGATTTTTTTTCAATGATAGAAGACTATGACTTTCAGAATAGATACTAATCAGTGAGGTAAACGTTTTAATAAGCGAAAAGTTTTTTTTCTTCAACATTTCATTTGAATTGAAAAGTTCTCCACAAAAATTGAACTTTGTCGAGGTCTTTAGAGTGTGATTTCTTGCAGGAAGAACACGGTTTAATTGTTAATATTATATATATTGCAACAATTTTTGGAATTTCTACCAAACTTATATATTTTCAAAGTAGAAAACCGAAGTCGGTCGCTGAGTAGGAAGATTTAGGGAGTTGCCTGTGACTTTTTCTGAACTTCTAAGCTTCCTACTGGAAAGAAATAAGAGTTTCAGTGAGATCAAAAGCAAATATTCATAACCGATTTTCACAAAATTATTAGGAACATGATGTGTTGGCATTAACCTACCAGTTTCATCAACGTTAATTTTTTTTCAGAAGGAAACATATTAAGTTCCTCCCACAACTTTTATACTCAGTAGCCATGAGAGTAATTAATTTTTGTTATAACCCAGTTGAAGAAGACTCTAAGTGAGCGGTTTGCTTCTCATCAGAATCCTTGTTTTTTCTCATTAGGGCGTTCAAAAGTTCAGAGAAGATCAAAATCGGTTCGCGAAACCCTCATGTTCAGTGAACGGCTTTAGCTTTACACTCTTGAAAATTCAAAACTTGAATGAAACGTTCAAAGATGATTCCCAACACGCGTCATTGTGATGATCGAATCATGTTCCTCGGGCAAAAGATAAGGCTTTGAAAACCTCGAAAAAATCCCGTTGTCCAATGAACTTCTTAATCCAAACGAAATGTTGTAGAATAAACTTTTCGCTTAATAAAATTAAAATCGAGAGTGTGTAGTACCAAAGACATTATTCTTGCAAAATCTTGAGAGTGTTTTCTTTTTGGTATTAGGGTATCAAGTACTACTATTTTTGAAAGTTTGAAACACTTCGAGTAAAGTCGGTATATATACAGCATGTTTTCAAAAGAAAACACCTGTATATATCCTTAAGTCTCTTTTATTTTCAAGGATGTAATTTCTTCTTGTTGATCCTATTGGAACTTTAATCGAATAGGATCATAGAATCCTTCATTCAATAAAAACAAAAATATATTGACCCATATAGAACTTATCTCTGATTCTTGTAAGATTAGGTATGTTCCATTTGATAGTTTTGAATTTCACAGTTTAGTGTTTAATTTTTCCTCTGCTCAACGACTGTTGTTTATAAGATGATTGGCAATCATCATTATTGTTTTGTTTGATACTTCTGTCTTCTTTTACGATTATAAATTATATTATAATATGTACAATAGTGTGACAATTTGTACTTTAAGATTACTAATCTTTATAAATAAACTCATAGGTAGTGAGTTTTAAACTTATGATTATAAAAAGTAACTTACAACAGTATATTACTATCGTTTAAAAAATTACATTTGAATTTAATGCTGATAGAAACCTTGGCTCTATTGCTGAGTCATCTCTTTAATGTAATACCTATGGTTTGCTTTAATTAGAAATAGATTTTTGCAGTGTTTTTTTCACTTTCCTTTCTTCTGATCTACTATTCGGAATCAGTCTGAATTTTTATTTGATTTAGAAATTTAATCATATCATTCCCATTGTAGTGTGATCTAATAACAGAGCTATATAGCAGATGGTAGTGACAGAATGTATGTCGCATTGAAGTTATTTTAGATCAATTGATAAAGTCATAACAATTGATTGATGAATAATTTTCTCATTAAACTATATAGATAGTTAAAATTAACTTTTTATTTCAATAATATAAATCAAAACTGGTTTTTGTGTTCATATAAATGATTTTCTTTTCATCAGTTGTCAATTGAAGCGATACTTCAAACTATCATCCGGGTATGTCCATGATAGATTCTATGCCTCAATACCATTTCATGCTATATGAATCCTTCATCAAATATAATAAGGATTGTTCGACTGAAAAGCACAATTTTCCGAAACAATTCTTGAAGTTTTTTAGTTATTCATAATCACAGACAAATCGATCTGTGTTCTTGAAATAGAAAATTAATTTTAACTATATATATAGTTTAATGAGAAAATCCTTGATTTATCAATTATTTTTTCTTTGCTAATTGATCTGAAACAACTTCAATACGACACGTATATTATTCGTTTCTAATTCTCATCAAGATAATGAATTTTTAATATAATTGATTTATTTTAGAAAGATTGAGATTTCGACAAATTTCTGCTACGTAAGAAGGTATATGTATGAAGCATTACAGCATAAGTCCATAGTAATCGTCGAGACAACTCGAGATGAAGTTAAAACGTATTATGAAACAGAGAGATAATTCGTCAAGATGAGAAATTCGACATTGATTATAACGATTGAGTAGTATTAATTCGTCAGTTAACTTTTTGGATATTCATCATTTTATCAGTTTCGCGTTTTAAATGAGGCAAAGAGAAATATAATCTGACTGTGTATAGCAAATGTGCAGAATCTATAACTATAATGAAAAATTTCCCTGAACGCCAAAATATTTCACGATAAATTTCACTCACTATAAAATTGAATTACAGATTCTTTTGGAAAATTGTAAAATTATTTTCGAAGACGAAAAAATAACGGATGTGCTTTAATAAATTGCCTAATTTCGTCTTTCATGTTTGAGGCATTTAAGAGTTATTTCAAACAATGGTTTTTATGCTAGTAAATAGTTTTTTTTGCGTCAGAGCTAATTTAGCGACATTAACATTTACTTCATCATACAAGTGTCAAAATTAAAAAAGTAAAAAGTTATAGAGAATTTTGAGATACGGGCCTACTAAAATGTGAAATATTCTGCAGTATTCTATATAAAACTATGTATCTTTCGTTTTGCTTTTCAAAGTATTAGAATAAATATTTGGGAGTAAAATTTTCGGAACAGAAAATGTCGAATACCGAAAAAAGTTTGTTCCGGACGAATCTGTGCTCTTGCTTTCGATTGATTCAAAATAGTCTAAATGTTTCAGCTGTTTAAGTAAACTCGTACACCATTTAGTTCAGACTTTAATTGTACATCTGATGATACGAGAAGTAACATTTTATAAGATAGGTCTGACTTATGCTTAGATAATTATTCATGATGCACCGAAAAATATCCTTAGATATTAGCTTGCAACTATTTTTTCCCTGAACAAAAGACTCAAAGCCATGTTAAATTCGTGGAGATGTAAAGCAAAAACTTCTTTACTTTTTTGTATACGATTTTTAGGCGTTAGCCTCGGCCTTAATCAGTACATGCTCATACAAATTGTTTTTTTATTTATAGAAAAACAGTAATTCGCAGTTTGACACGTCAATAGATTTCAATTTCATAAAGTTTATCCCTCCATGGAAAATCTTTCTGAAGAACAAATTGGGCAGTTTCGTAGAGGATTTAATTTTCTATCCAGTGAGATCAGAACAAAAAGTCAAAATAAATGTTTGATGCTTCAAAGATAGAAAATAAATTTGTGACAAATACTATGAGACATCGATTATTTTCCAAATATCTTTCCTCATGTACTAATAAGTTTTCTACAGTTTTCCTGAATGGTTGTTCGTAGACGCGGATAGATTCTACACCTCTGGTACATAGGAACAGTTATGTATCGATAACAAGATAGATGTATAGATTAATATCTAGTGACACAGTCATGTGAATATATATCTACAGGAATACACATAAAGATATACGTCTAAATGCTTTGATAAATTTGCAACGCAGAAATGTCCGAATGAGGAATGTTCAGCATCAAGAAAAATGAGCGCATAAATGAAAATCATTAAATATGTAGAATTCTGTATTTAGATCTAACTAGATAGTAATGTTCAATAGAAAGAGTTCTGTAATGAAGGATCCAAGTGAGAAACACGCTCTGCTTTTTGATGCATAGATTACGAATAATCTGGTCAAGCTAAGACTACGATTGATTTTTTTTTGTAATTTAATCTTATAGAAAATACCATTGCTATGGATGACCGTTTTTATTGAATAAGCCCAACAATATCCGGTAAATTTTTTGGTGCTGAACGTCATCAGGCTGACTATTCTTTGTACTTAATTTTCCTGTTCTACAAATTTTTTTCGTCGTTCAAAGAATATAGCTATAAATGGATTAGTCTATATGGCCTAAGCATATAGGACGCCCTACTAATATTATCGATAAAAATTGATTAGCTCTAAGTAGGAAATAACACTAACGTTCTAAAATCATGGAAATATTTTTCGAGAACATTAGCAGGAAATCCTTTAATTTTGGGCACCATGTATACATTGATAGGAACTACTTCGTACGAAACTTTTTTTTATAGGAAATCAAAAAAAAGTTACGAGTTAGCATCCATGGAAAGAGCATTCTTAGGCATTGGAAAACCTGTCTTTGTGTAAGGTGTGTTGGAGAAGGATGCTTGTACACTGTCAAAAATTGTCTTGAAACTTATACAAAGTTTCATAGAAGACGAACGTCTGATTCGTAGTTCCTTACTGCAAGCAAATCTTTTCTACAACGACAATGATTTCTGTCTGTTTTGTTTATCATAGTGATATCTAATATTCCAGTCAATACCACATGGGCACAGAATGGAATGGTTGTTGCTGGAGGCTACGGAAATGGCCATTCCTTTTATCAACTCTGCTTTCCTCATGGTCTCTGCATTGATGATAATCAAATGATGGTCATGGCTGATAATGGCAACGATCGTATTACCCAATGGCGGGTGGGTGATAAATATGGAAAAGCTGTAGCTGGTGACCGTGGTCCAGGAAATCGGTTGGATCAATTAAATAAACCAACCGATGTGCTGATCGATAAAGAGACTGATAGTCTCCTTATTTGTGATGGCGATAATAGACGACTTCTACGATGGTCTCTTCGCAGTGGCACAACTCAAGGAGAAATTCTTCTCGACCGTGTCCACTGTTATGGATTGGCTATGGACGATCAGAGATATCTTTATGTCTCTGACACTAAATACAACGAAGTTAGACGATATCGATCTGGGGATAAGAAAGGAATTGTCGTGGCAGGTGGCAATGGCAAAGGTAGTGGTCTCAATCAACTCAACACTCCAACCTACATTTTTGTCGATCACCAACAAGCTGTCTACGTGTCGGAACGTCACAATCATCGTGTGACGAAATGGAATAAAGGTGCAACAGAAGGGATTGTTGTTGCTGGAGGTCAAGGTCGTGGGCAAGATTTGACACAATTGTCGCAACCTGAAGGACTGTTCGTCGATACGTTGGGTACTGTCTATGTGATAGATTCATTTAATCATCGAGTAGTTCGCTGGTCTGAAGGTGCACAACACGCTACTGTCGTTGTTGGTGGAAATGGTCGAGGACAAGGAGCAAATCAATTCAATAGTCCCATGGGTTTGACCTTCGATCAGCATGGCCATCTCTATGTCGCTGATTGTGGAAATGACCGAATCATGCGCTTTTTTATTCAGTAGACTGATCACCATGTTTTTTTTTGTGTTTATCCCATCAAATAAATAGTGATGAATTAAAAAAAACGGCTATTCAATATGGACGTGACCAGAAACAACATAAGTGACGCTTTGGTGGCTTGCAAGCATACACGAACAATGCAGACTAGTACACATGACATTTTCGAGTCTGAAATATTCAGTTTTGTGCCACAGATATCAAGATGATTCTTGGCTCAGCTTTCAAGTCCTACTCAGATGGTCTCGAAGCACAGGAACCTACACAAGGGATCTGAAAGAGAATAGCTTATCCGCCAATGTTGAGCAAAGATCCCTTTCCTAACTTCTATTCACTCTACCATCAATGACAACACATCCAACACTTACTGAACTTCCTAGTCAGATAAGAATCTTGAAAAACAAACACTCCAAAAAATGTAGAACTTTTCACAATTTATACGTTTTTACTACTGTACACTACAAATTTCTTAGGTTTTTCGCGTTCAAAATCAAAATCGGAAATTTACACGAAAAACTCCGTCAAAAGTACATTTTTGTACGTATTTTTCTGAGCAGGTTTTATTTTATTGAACAATAACTCGTTATTTCTCATTTTTCCAAAGCAATTTAATGCGTTGAAATGCAAGATCCTTTGTCCAATAACTTGTGTTAATATAAATCGATCTGATATCTTCATTTTTATTTATAGAACATTCTGATTTATCATTAGAATGACAAATTATTTTATAAAAACAAACAAATGAAAAATTCCTTAAAGCCATCCGACTATTATCATTTTTTTATAATTGTGAGTGAATGTTACTTTTCATCAATTTATTGTTTAACTGTATCATGTATTAATTTTCATATCAACTTGAAATTTGATTCTGATCTACTTGCAATGTTTTACTTTAACCGTTGAATACATACGCATTAACAACAGCAAAACGACAAAAAAACCATCCGTTATTGAAAGTGGTAACTATGAGAAGTTATTTGACAAATGTTTATATGGATTTTAGAAGATTTGGAAGCACATGAAATTCACCAAATAAATTCATATTTTTATCCAATCGATAGGCAACCTTTTCTCAGGTTGAATTATACTGGATAGAAACAGTTCTTAGTAGTGTTGACAATATAGCGTAAATCTATAAGTCATTTAGGTATTTTGTTCCATTAAGTGCAAAAAAAGAGAATCATAACCAACAATGATGGCTTCACCAATAATGAATAAAACGTCACTGACAGCTTTCCAATATGAAGACGTTTTTATTCGTAAGAACATATGAAACTTGAATTATGCGCTTAAGTATTGGTCGAACTAGGAGCTTTGGAAAGACATCTCTTTATAGAAGTATCATGAATAAGATGTGTATTGCTTCTTACTGTACAATTACAGTAACTAATGAGCCATATGTGAATTGTACGATTGTTTCAAATCAGCAAGAAAACAGTAAGCTAGTTATTAATGAATCTTCGTTACATGAGAACAAAAGATCTTCATCATAATCGTCAAGCAAATTAAGTCTCGTATGAAATGTATAAATTCACTAATTTTGTCTGAAAGATACATGCTTATGAGGTAGGATCGAATGTATTCGTTCATCTTTGTTTGTTGATGAATTTTCAAGATGAATACTCACATTGTGCATTATATAACTTCGTACTTTTTATGTTAATGTATTGAGAATTGGTAATAAATATGTAGAAATAAGAGCATATACTGGTTTGTCGTTTGCCATAGGTCAATTAATTTAAGTTGCTCCTGATTTTCAGGTTTATTACGTATAATTATTATTCATTATTTGAACAATTAACCCTAAGATATAACGATTCAATCACATGTCCCAATTTATGATTTCAAAATTGAGCGTACTATAATCGTAGTGCGGACCAAATTTAAACAATGTTTGACAGACATGTATAGAGAATGTACAATGGAGAACACTATTTGGTGCCTTTAAAAGTCAAAAGAAAAGTATGAAATAAATGTTACAGGAAAGTGATTAATTAATGTAAGAACACAGTATGACAAAGAAAACTGATTGAAAAATGTTTTTATAAGGCTATTGATTATTTGTCAGTCGATTATTTGTCAGTAATTGCATTTCAAAAAAATCGCAGCATATGCTAATAATCGAAAGCGTTCGTAATATTGTTTTTTATTGCTTGCTCAAAGAGTCTATAAGAAAAAGCCTAGAATTGATTCGAGAAATAAAAGGCCTGAAATATGCTTAAATTAGAAAAGTATTGTAGTCCTAAGTTCGTTCGCTTTCCATGATTTAAGATATTGTAAAAGACGTCGTACTCGATCTGTATTTGCATAGTGAATGATCTGAGGCAGTTTCTTCATGAAGTACTGTTATTGAAAGATTCATTACATCATTTTTTTTCCCGTATGTTTATAGCTCGAAATAGTCCTCATTACAAGAATATTGTGCTATATCTACGTATACTTGTATAGTCTGAGTTTTTCCTAATCCTAATTTCAAAAAATTAATAAAAAGGAAAATTCAAATAATAGCATGTCGTACTGAATAATCTTTATTCACATAACAAAAGTTTTCGTTAAAATGTAAGATTTTATTGCATAGTACGGTTATCAAATTAGCACGCATTTTAAATATTTGACGGCTTGATTAAGCGAAAATATTCCAGACATGATAAATTATACTAAGAAAAAAAGTGAGAAGTCTATAAAACTCTTAAAATTTAGCTAATCTAAGTACGAACGCACAACAATTTTGTTCTGCTCATCAAACTCATAAATATTATCACCTGAAATCAATCAGATTAGCTTTGATAAAGTTATTTTTTGGTGTTTTCTGAAGCTTAACAATATTGTCTGCAGAGTAACGAATAGCTAGATTTTGCGTTAACAGGTTTTCATATGAACAATGAAAAAAAAGCTATCAATTTCCTGCACGAATTTCTTGTTCATCCTTTAAGTAAAAAGAGGTGAAATACTTACAAATATCCCAGGATATAAACTATGAAGTGGATCAAAACAGAAACTCTTCTCTATTTCAACATATGTGAGCTCCCATAATGCAAAATGCCATAAATATCCATATGCTTTATCTTTCATAAGATCTTTTTCTGCGTAATTCTAAACAAAAAACATAGAAATCAGATCATGGTAAAAAGTATAACCTACCAAAGACAACTTAACGCATCCTAAAACTCCATAAATGCATCATATATTGCGTTATTCCAACTCATTAGGGGAATTTTCTCGTTAAGAATAAAGCATTTTGTGTTAGAAGAACTAGCTACATCAGAGTTAATACGACTACACGATATAAGAAATCAAAACAAAATGGGAACGAGTTATAAACAATAAAGGTATTCTAACCTTTTAGACAATACCAGTCACAATTAAAATAATCCATCAAATCTTTTATATTCATAGTAAACGGCTGGGTTAGCATACAGTAAACTGCTGAGAGAATAAATGCATGAAAATGTGTGTAATTGTTTTGATTTTTATCTCACTTTATAGTAAAACAACGTTTGCATTTATATTTTCAAAAAACTTAAATTCATTTACGATATCTTCTTATATTGTTGAATATTTCTTTTTTTTTTTCATCTACTGTTGATTTAGAACATATTAACATATTGTTAATTTCCAAAAGAGTGATGTTGACGAGATGCCTTTATACAAACACACATAATCAATAAACATCGTGAGTTTCATTCATCGCGACATTGATCAGATACATATGTCGTCAATATAAGATTTGCCCGTTCAAGAATAGAATTGATTTTAGGCATGAGAAAGCAATTAAAAACCATATTGGTACACAAATGTAAGCTGAAGCTAATCCACATCCATCAAGATTACATTTTGAAGTATTTAAGCCTTTACTGAAATAGGGTGAATAAGTTTACGAATGACTATCTTGAAGTAGCTCAGAGTTATGCTCTTTTTTTACGTGAGACAACAGTCCATCAAAGTAATTTGGTACATTCGAAATATTGAAAGTATGTTAACTTTTGCAAATATTATTTTCGGCAGCTTTTATCATAGAATACATTATTCGAACGAAAATTAGCATTAATGAAAATTCAGTCACATTTCGATATTGCTCAGTTTCAAAGTCATTATCCAATAAAGTGTAATGAACTTCAGGAACTTTTTTCACACCATCATCATCTTTAAATTTACTGATATGATCACAACCGACTTGCAATATGTTATCATTAGCTTTTCATTAACTTAAATCTATGCCATCACTGTTTTCAAACGTATATTGCTCGATTTCTGAATTCAACAACGAATCTGAAGTTTGAATGCATTCATCATGTTTTATTTTTAATACTCAATTAACGAATATAACATAACATTCTAATACTTCAAAGCGATATACGACAGAAAGAGAATGCAAATGCTAAAATAGGAAAACAATGAAATTTTTTATTTTCAATATTAAAATGGATAGATAATAAAATCTTGATAATTAGTTATCATCTGACTTAATTTGGATACTATCATGGGACTTTGTCTGACTCATCAGTATTTCGTTCTACTTGTTGAATCAACGATTGATACAAATTTAATTACAAATTATTTATTCTATTGTTCGACCATTATCTCTATATAAATTACTATACAAATTCATCGATGAAGCCAATTCGTTATATAATGTTGCATGATACTTGACTAAAAATATATCCAGAAACTAGTTACACGTATTATTTGAAGAATTAGCGAAACACATTAAATTGGCGGGTTTCTGTGTTTCCACTAACTCCCTGTTAATACTTCAAAAAGAAAATATCGAAAAGAAAATAAATTATGATGGAGAAATATTCAATACTGACAGTGAGCGTGTGTTAAACGCACTACTACTAAAACAAACATTCATGTCAAAATTGAAACATACATGATAGAATATTATTATGCTGTTATCTTCTTGAAATATGAAGTGTTTTATTCTTATCAATATTGTTTTCGGACGACCAATTGTTACTGTAAAAAGCTATAAAGAATATTGACCTTCTTCATTAGTTTCTTTCTTGAGAGGAAATATTTTATTTATAATTGATCTATAAAAATTCAAAATAGTCTGCTCTTATATACGAATGCTATATTACATAGTACAGTCTCTCTCTGAATTTTCATTTTAAACATCAAACTTTATGGGAGTTTGATTCATTCAAAAATGCGAGTACAATATGAAATATTAAACTTTCGTTTTCTATAATGTTTAAAATTACTATTTCAATATAGAAATCGGATTCTCGAATCAAGAAGACTATATGTAAATCAATCCAATGTTTATTAATTACTGAGGATTTTATTTATCAAGTAATAAGAATAAAGTTATTCAACAATGAGTTTATCGAAAAAAATATATATCACGTACGTATAATTCCTAACAGTATATATACCCCTGGAAAGTAAAAGCTGGACATGGTATTTCGAATCTATTGACACTCGAGAAGGACATTTTGGAAAACTTAATTATACCATTTGATAGCCCTTGGAATTCTCTATCACCCTGTCTATTTTTGTCTTCGTTTACAGTTAAACATTACCAAAATAAATTGAGTAATATGAAGGTACCCTTATGTCCAGATTCCCACAGATTGGATTTTGTCTCCTCAACTAGTTCTCCAGCTATAGAAATACATTTCCAAAAAAGCAATTATATATTCGGATAGAGCTTGAAATTCTCTATCAGCCCATATATTTATCTATTGCCTTATATTTGTTT